GGTGGTGGGACAGGCAGCAATGGGGTGGATGTGGGACACCTCTTTAGAAAAAATACAGGAAATACGTGATGAAGGCTAAGTAAGGGTGAAAAGACCAGGGAGGGATGTTCTAGACGAGACAACAGCAAGCTCAGTTGAGGTGAGAAAGCGCTGTGATATTTAAGGTGCTGTTAGGGGCTACGAGGCTGGCTGGAGAGCAGTTCACAGTGAAGGGTGGCCCAGGTCCGGGTGATGTGGGCCCAAGTAAGTAAATGGTTGGATTTTCTTACAAACCCGGTGGGAACTCATTGCAAAGTTCCAAGCAACATGGTTGAAATTTCATTTTTAAAAGACTTCTTGTGGAAATTAAATCATATGAGATTATAAACAACTAGTTGGAGAATGGTCTCATTTTTTATATTAAATCATACAGAACTCTAATAACCCAATGATGTAACCATAAAAAATAAAATCAATCCCAAAGGCACATATATAACAGTGCAAAAATCCCACTCTCAAAACAAAGGTGAATTACTTGTCAAGATTTCTGAGTGTTACAATCTCGTTGTAAAACACTCTTTTTAAAAAAATATTTGGTTCTGTTAAAGGCCTTTCTTTCTTTCTTTCTTTCTTTCTTTCTTTCTTTCTTTCTTTCTTTCTTTCTTTCTTTCTTTCTTCATTTCTTTCTTCTTTCCTTTTGAGAAAAGAAAAATCAGATTTGTGCTTCTGGGAGAAAAAAAAGTTGGCACAGGTTCTAAACAAACACAGTAAAATCATATTCTTTAATCTTCTTAGATTCATAAATGAGCTGTTTTGTGTTGCTTAAGGAACAGCTTATTTTCTCAATTTTAAGTGAGTTTCTGAAACGTATCACATGCCACAGAGGGCGCGTGGAAATTAGAAACTGTAACTGCTTTCACAGGGTCAACACACCAGGCTGGTTTTCCTTCACAATCTGCAGCTAATAAATGGTTGAAACCTAATATATTCCCCCCACCATAAATGAACATATGACTAATTCCATTAGAGCCAAGACATTACCTGACATTATTGTCGTGGCTGGTCCAGTGTCTGTACCATACATGATGTGATGGGTTAGGGAATTTTTTGTGCTTCTGAGATTGGTCTCTGTACACTTGGATGTCCCTGTTGAACGAAAAGAGAAATATAAAGAAGGACATGACTGCTCCTAGGTATACTGGAGGGGAGGGTTTATTGTAGATTAAAGGGAGAACATAATTAGAGGCAGGGACGTCTGGAAGAGTCCAGAGTGGACATGACCCTGAGCCAAGCCAGGGGGAGGAGGGGGAAGGGAGAAGGGAGAGGGGACAGGAGGTGCATGGGCCAAGAAACTGGCCAAGAGAGTGGCTGAGTTACATAGGGGCCAGAGGAGCTGGGGGAAGGGAAGCCCACCCCAATATCTGGGCTGCAGAGTTCAGGGTGGGGGCCGGGTATGCCAGCCGGGAGGACCCTGTAACCGGTAGACTGGGGATGCTGGAATAACCTGGCCGCCAGCATCCGCTTTGATACATTGATGGACACCTCAGTTAGCTGTTTGTCCCGTATTTTAGACCTAACACCTCTAAGCTTACTTTCAAATAAAACTAAGATGGGTGGTGTGTGAGCTGGTCTGGAACTGCTTTCAGCCAGCATACACTTGACTGAATATATAGAAAGAGGGCCATTCCCTTTCCAAGTTCCCAAGTTTCTCGGAGGGAGCCGCTGGTGGTAGAATTTTTGCACGCAAGCAGGCCGCAGGGACTTGATCTGTAGGGTCTCATGCTATTTGACTCGCTCCCCTGCAGACTCTGGGAATCTTCGTTCGTGATTTTTCAAGGCTCAATGTTTCAGTAGTCAGGGCCCTCGATAAGGTGTTTTGTGTAGCTGTGACTCTCTGAGATAAATGTTCCCTCCTCCTCTTTATATCGGTTCAAGATCTCTATGGGAGATCAGAAACTATCTATCTCTTAGAACCCCACAGATCTGGAGGTATCACGTCTCCTGAGTTACCTAGATACACCTTGGCAGCCTTCCATTACCACAGGCACTTGTGAAATTCTGCCAGCGAAGCTAATTCCCCCCAGCACTGGTAAGACAGACATTTACCTAATGCAGATAGATGAAGGGACACTTACTCACAGCCTGTCAGAGTCATGGTAGAAACTGTTGTGGGGGCTTCTAAGATCAAATCATTAGAAACCTTCCAGGCATGGGGGCGGGGCCTCCCCCCACCCTCCCCCATCCCCTAAAATAACGCCTCAGCACCAATCTCCCTTTCAGACCCGGAAGGAAAGCCATGCACCTTCCTCGCTGGTCACGTGTCTCGGACTCTCCCAAACTCTGGGGTTCTGGCGTTGACATCTCTCTGCTCTGGTCCGTCCCCGGGCAAGGGAGTGAGTGGGGAGGGTAAGAATAGCAGCGGGAAGCTGGCCACCGCCAGGACCGGTGGAAAGCGTGCACACACTGCCTTGAGAGGGCAGAACTCTTGCCCACTAAAGCCAGCTTGGCCACGTTCATTAACATTGCTGAAATGCCTCAAGAAACACAAGCAGGACCATATGCCAGAGCCGAGCCTTGCTCTCCCTTTAAGCCTGAATTGCGGTTGCCATGAGGGGACCTGAGATGTCACACCCCCTCACTGCGCTGCACTATACAGCTCCCCGCCCCCCTGCATGGGTGGTGATGTGTTTTACCCACTTCCTGTCTCCAAAGTTTATTTAACCCCTCTGCCTTCGCTAACCTCCCTTCCTTCTCACTTTCTGAAGATGCGCTGTAACCGTTTATTTTTGTTTTATAATGCTCACCCCAAAAGATACCACACACTTTGAATCCTCAGTTTACTTACAGGGTTCTCCCTCCCAATAAGCAACTTCGAGTCCCCGCTGTGCCTCGTGAGCCTGGGAGAAGCGAAATGTACAGTCCCCGTTCTCTTGGCCACATGGACAACCACAGACTCCTGTTAAGTAAACATTTATTGGTAAGAAAGTTCATATTTCTTTAAGAAAATGAAATGGTCTTCCAAGGACATACTCTAATTGTCTGGACACTTCTTTCAGTGGTCACACGTTTACCAAGGTGATCAGTTCAATCTTTCCTGAAGAAGTGATCAAAGTTAGCTATTGTGGTCTAACCATTCCCACTGGCCATGCTGAAAGAGCGTCCTTAGAGAGTGGAGCTAGCGCTCTCTACCCTACTGGTAAACTTCTACCCCAACCCTGTGGCGCATTCTCTCTCTACTGTGAGGAAATCCGCAGGGTTCAGCAGTTAATTCACCCCCATGAGTGTACAGCGGGTGGTGGAGAAAGAAAGATGGAGGAGGCCACATGGAAGACTAAGTCCCCAAGGCTCCAGACCTGAGGATATGCACTGGAATCATGTGAGACGGAACGAAATCAGCGGAAGTGCAGGCCAAAGCAGCCCCGGTGTTGAAATGGTTCTACATGGAGGAGGGGAGGGCCAGGGCAGGAGGTTTTTGAGTGGAAGTACAGCCTCAGGCAGGCTGTGGAGCCCCTCGACAGTATTGTGGATACAGAGACCGTGAGATAAGTGGAAGGGGGTGAGGAGGGCTTAGGACGCTCTTACTAAATCAGAGTATTATAGTTTTCCTTGCTTCGCTTCATCAGAGCAAACACTTTAAACTAAGAATCTTAAAGGAATTGCATGGATGGTGAGGTCTGATGGAAATGTCTTTCTGTATGCTGTGAAAATATGTTGCTCTGATTGGTTGATAAGTAAAACGCGGATTGGCCAGTAGCCAGGCAGGAAGTATAGGTGGAATCAGCAGACAAGGAGAATTCTGGGAACTGGGAACAGGAAGGCTGAGTCAGGAGACACCAGCCCACCATCCAGGGAGCAGCATGTAACAGCACACAGGCAAAGCCATGGAACACGTGGCAACATACAGATGAACAGAAATGGGCTGAGTTTAAGTGTAAGATCTAGTCAGTAGTAAGCCTGAGCTAATGGCCCAGCAGTTTTAATTAATATAAGCCTCTGTGTGTTTACTTAGGTCTGAGTGGTTGCGGGATCACGGGGCCTCGGTAGCAGGGCAGGACCAGGAAAACTCCAGCTGCAGAGGTCCTCGGAAATACTAGTAATAATAATGGCCATAATAATGCGATTGTTATTTGCAAAACTGCAAATGACAGTATTGTAGGTGAGGACCAGCTCGCCCATTTTACAGATGAGCTCACTGAGGTGCAGAGAGAAGTTCCTTGCCTCAAAGCTGAAGCAGCTCGTTCGAGGCAAAGCAGTCCTGGGGTGGGTCCTGCACCTGACCGCTTAAGTAAGATCCTCACCACTGAAGTGTGTCTAACTGCTCACCTGTAACCACCACCAAGTCCTATATCTCAGAGGACAGTGGACAGTGGTTGGAGGTGTGACACCCTCTCAGGTTGGGCTCGAACCCGGGTCATTGGGGTTGCATAGCCAACGTTGTTCTGCAGACTTTCTCAGTAAAAATAAAGCCAGTTATGAGAGATGAGGTATGAGACAGACACGTGAGTACTGTGTTTAAAGCCTCCAATCCTCGAACCCCTTAGTCACGACCTGGCTCAGAAGTACAGGGTCTGGGGGGGGGGGGTCTGTTGCGCCTCAGCTGACATCTGTCTAGCCACACACCGGCTAAGCTTCACTCCGGGGCTTACGAGCAATATGGTTCCCATCAGATATTTCTTGCCTGAGTGGAACAAATCACTTAGGTGATATGCTGACAGGAAAAAAAAAAAAGAAAGAAAGAAAGAAAAGGAACAGTCTGCATGCTTGGAAAGCTTAGGGGGATTTAAATTATGTGCTGTCACCTCAGAGCGGCTCCGCTGTCCTCCACACCACCACCTCCTCCTCCGAATCGCCTGTGGGAGGGAGCTGCGGAGCCTTGCGTGCAAGCGCTGCCATAACCCAAGGCTTAACATAAACTTCGGGCTCTCAGGTCATTGGGAAAGAACAGGTATATCCGGTTAGGTCTTTTGTGCTTCTCTGCACGCAAATTCAACAGCGCAAGCGCGCACGCGTGCAAAGCTGAACTCCTTGGAGCCTCTGGTTCCGGAGAAGGGAGGATGCCTTGGAATGGAATTCGCGCAGTTTCCCCCTCCCCCTTTTTTTTCCACGGAGTGGGGGCGATAGAGCTTGTTGACGGGGGACATTCCTGCACCTCGGAGAGGCTGAGGTCAGAAGGGGTGGGATGCGAGAGTGGGACTTGTGCCAGACAGCCTGCTGGGCAGCAGGGTTGCTAAGGACCCCCGGGTCAGAGCTTCTTTGATGGGGCATGGTTTTTATGGGGGTCGGGGGAGGAGGCAGGGGTGCCGAACTTCAGCTGGTGGGAGCAATGTCAAGTTGACTTGGTCCTTACTGCTATACACAGGTGTAGGTGGACTGAGAAGGGTGCAAGAGGACGCCTGAACCTTGGGGGACCATGCCCCGAAGGCTGTGGTTGCCTCAGCTCCCCACTTCCCTGCCTCCCCTAAGTCTTGACGGTGTCCCTGGAACTGTTCGTCTTTGAGCCCTCTAGAACGCTGCCTACACTAGGAACAGGGTCCATCCACTCTGCCTTCACGGTCCCTCCCACAGGGAGCAGTAATACTGCTCCAGCTGTGACAACAGCCTTCTCTCTCAACAGGAGACATGCGGTCTGGTCCTCCACGGGTGACGTTCCCACGGTCAGCAGTTTCCCCACTTAGCGTGGTTGAGCAGCAAGCGGGTTCTTGGAACCTGGTAGATCCGGAGCCAAATTCCAGGTCAACCACAATGGAGACTTGTGATTTTGATGGATAACTTCACATTTTCCTGCCTTGGTCTGTCTGGCTATAAAAGGGGATTAGGCTAATAGCTATCTCCAGGAGGCGATCGTGAGGGATTAATAATAAAAGATTTACATCAAGTGCTTGGCGCACCGCCTGCCTCAAAGTGCTCCATTCGTGGTAGTGCTTAATATATTATTAGTGATATATTCTTATTGTCACCCTTGGTATTATTGGGCATAACTGCCATCCAAGGTGCCACTGTAATTTTAGGCTTTGGCTGGTTGCCTCTTGGCCCACTCTGAGAGTACTGCCTTCTTCTCCAGAGCTAAGTTTCCCCAGCCCACCTGACTCAGGTATCCCAGGGCTCAGAGCAACTTGGATTTGGGGACTAAATCTCTATCCTTTTCCTGGGCTTAGAGTCCATCATTCAGATGGGTGGTTGCCATGGGAAGGTGACATCTTTCTGGCCAGACCCCTGCTGGGACTCCTCTGCACCAGTCCAGTGGGGTTAAGGTGGCACCTGAATGAACCTGCACTTGTCTTAGGGGCTTGTCTCATGACATCAGGAGTTGGAACATCACTCCTTTTGAGACCTACCATTGTCCCAGTCAATGTTCTATATCACAGGAAAATCACACTCTTTGAGACAGTGGTCTCCAAAGTGTGGTCCAGGACCGCCCCCCACCCCCCATGTCTCTGAGACCCTTTTGAGGGACCCATCAGGTTGGAACTATGATAATCTTTTGCCTTTTTCACTTTTACCCCCAAGTTCGCCATGATGTTTGACATCATAATAGACTGGATGCAGAAACAGGAGAACCCAGCTGTTTTCTGTTAAATTGGAAATTAAAGAGATTTGTAAAAACACGAAGCAATGTCCCTCTGACTAAATATTTTGGTTTTGGAAAATATAATTGTTTCCTGAAAAGATTTGTATTACCATGCACTGTCTTGATTGTTTTTAATGGATTAATGAGTAAACATTTCCGAATTTTTCAGCCTTCATTTCTAAAACTGTAAATATTGATAGATACAACTCAAGATAAACTTTAGTTCCTTGGGCTCTACAGTAATTTTTCAGAGTATGAAGAGGTCGTGAAAGAAAACTGTTAGAGAAATATTGAGCTAAGCTTTTGGCACTGTGGCCCATGAAGTCATGGTTTTGCTCATCTCCTCCCGATTCAAACGGTCATCTCTGGGGACTGGAAGAGTGTGAATTTTATGATGATGTCAATATAATGGGTTTGAGTGTAGCAGATCTAATTACGAAGCCTGCATTTTAGTTTCATACCAACTCTCTCATCTTCTAGCCACTGTTTTAAAGGAAGCTTTGTAACGCTTGCTCAAGCTTTGTCTATAAATTACAGACATTAAGTTGTACCAGCAAAGGACTAAGGATACCCCCCACACCAGGAGAGGTGGGGGAGAGTTTGACTCACATCTGTGAGAGATGGCTGCCTGTTGGTATCTTAGGCTCCTGTAGGGAGTTACCTCACCCAGCTATCAAGGGCACTTGTATGGCCTACATCCTTAACAGACTTATAATAGTATGAAAGAAGCCTATATATACATGGTGTGAGGCTGGAAGGGAGAGGCTTGTCAAGTCTTGGGGATGGACAGTAAGTCAATGATTGCTTGCTTACTGGTTTGGTAACGGCAGCCTTTGGAGTCTGCAGACATACCCTGGGTACTCTTGAGAGAGGGGTAAGAAAATATCAGGCAGAATGATAGGCCTAGCTGAGAAGAAAAAAAAAAACACAGGATAGCTTTGGGAGGACCTGGGTCAATACCCTTCGGCCCAGAACTTTATTCAAAAGGGCTTTTTATAATAATGCCAAGGGTCGAGGCAAAAGACCCCACCCTTGCTAGATACAGCCAAGTGCAGACCCTTCCAAACACCTGGTAACCACGCCCATGGTCAAACCATCCCCTTATGCAACGCTGCTGGGTAAAGCAAGCTCAGATTCTCAGACCTTGAGTAATTTGGGCCTCCACACAGACCTGAGTTCAAATCTCATCTGATGCTATGGTATGGCCGTGAATTATCTCTTGAAAGTTCACTCTCTCAAAGCTTGTTTCCCAGGGTGGTGGTGTTAGTGTGGTGGGACCTCTAAAGGGTGGGGCTTAGGGAAATATAGTTAGGTCATAGTAGCTCCATTTTCAGGGACAGATTAACGTTACTCCGAAGAAGTGAACCAAGTCTCATGAGAGTGGATTTATAGCTCGAAGTTGCTCCCAGCCAGCCCTTCTGCATGTAGCTAATTCCTTTTCTGCTTCTCTACCATGTTGTGGTGAAGTCAGAGGATGTAGCATGAATCTTAAATGGTCTTATTAATAAAATCAAGTCCAGGGCCAGGTATTGGGGTGAATGCTGGAAGATCAGAGAAGCAGAACAAGCCACAGCTAACCTCATCTCACCAGTTCCTCAGCTGATCTGTTTCCTCAGACTGTAAGCCTCTGAGTCCTCATCCAGAATGAATCTCAGCTGAAGTGCTGCTAAAAGCCTAAAAGCTTAACCAGTTCTAGTTCCTGGTCTTCATGCCTTATATACCTTTCTGCTTTCTGCCATCACTTCCTGGGATTAAAGGCATGAGTAGCCGGGCGGCAGTGACACACGCCTTTAATCCCAGCACTCGGGAGGCAGAGGCAGGCAGATCTCTGTGAGTTGGAGGCCAGCCTGGGCTACCAAGTGAGTTCCAGGACAGCCAGGGTTACACAGAGAAACCCTGTCTTGAAAAACTGAAATAAATAAATAAATAAATAAATAAATAAATAAATAAATAAATAAATAAAATAAAGCCGTGAGTCACCGTGCCTGGCTGTTTCCAGTGTGGCTTTGAACTCACAGAGATCTGGATGGATCTCTGCCTCCCAAGTGATAGGATTAAAGGTGTGAGTGCCACCATTTTCTGGCCTCTATGTCTATCTAGTGGCTGTTCTGTTCTCTGACCCCAGATAAGTTTATTAGGATGCACAATATATTGGGGGACACAATATATCACCACAAGAGGATCTTTGCCAGGGTGCTTCACCATGCTCTTAGGATCACACAGCCTCCAGAACTATGAGTCAAATAAACCTCTTTACTTTATAAGTTTCCCCCGCTTTGTATAATTTGTTATATCAATACAAAGAGGACCGACGGCCACCTTCATTTGCAACCCATATGGCTTTTGACAAAGAACCCTTTCATGAATGAAATAGGCTAATATATCAATCTCTTGAGGGTGGTTAGGAGAAATATGATTTAAGATTTAAGGCATGGAATACAACACCTATCACTTAGGGGGGGTGGAGTGGGAGACTAGTCCCTTTCCTTTCTCTGTCTCCAACTAGTTTTGTTGCTTTAGGGGATGCTAAGAGAATAAATAGAGGAACACAAGCTATAGATCCTGTCTTATGACACCAGAGGAAAAACTTTATACTTGGGCATAGTGGCCTGTATGTAGAACTCAAAATGTTGGTGTGTGCATCCCTTATTAAATGATATACGTAATTTGATTTTGACCTTTTTGATCTGCTGAAGGAAACCCAGGTGGCCATATAGCTCAACAGTAAAACAGTACAGAAATAGGTCCTCTGCCAGTGTGGAGTCCCTTACATAGCCTTGTGGTAGTTCATACCCCAGAGATTTCACTGGGATGTGGCTGGTACCCAGAGGACTCCAGGCACAGGCACATCCTAACTGCATGAGGCATCCCTGAAACAGGACAGTGAGAGTCCAAAGGGCATGGCTGCTGGCTGGATGCTGCACCCATCTCCAAGCAGGCCACAGTGCCAGGTTGTCAAATCTTGGATGCTAACAAGCCCATCCCTCTTCCTGCATTTAAATTCTCAAAACATAATGACCCACCAGGGTCTGACTCAGCACAAGGGGAAAAAAAGAAAATTGGAGGTTAGTCAGTGCCAAAGTACAGACTGTTGCATGTAATTTTCCCAGTTTGGACCGGGAAGGCTTCTGGACACTTTCTTCCCTGGCATTTAGGAGGGAGAGCTGAAGATCTCCATGCCCTGGCTTCTGCTGCAGGCGCCTGTGACAACATCACAATGTGACTGCCATATGGGTCATGCATCCCACATCTGAAGCCATGTGCATTTCTTCCCAGGGCTGGAAGAGAAGAAAGCAGATGAACCTTCTAGAAAGCACCACAGTACTGCTCCCTTGGTGTCCATCCCCAGGAGGGCCCACAGCACACCCTTGAATTTTCACCCAGCCTGGCTTCCCCATCTCGGCTGCCAGGGATTGGTGAGTACTCTCCTGGAGTCTTGTTTCACCCCTAGGGCTGCAAAACACGCCCATAAAAGCCAGCAGAAAGCCTGGACAAGAGCCTCAGAAGGAGGGAGCCAGCATGGCCCCTCCAGGAGCTTCTGGGGGAGCACACAGCCTTTGCAAGTTAGCATTCCCGCCTAGGCAAGCCTGGGTGAGGTAAAATGGGGTGAGGAAGAAGTGCCGCAGAGCCACCAGCTGGAGTTGGAGGAAATCACAGGTTGGCCACTGCCCCTTAGCCTGTCTGCCAAGAGTAGAGGGCTGGGTGAGAGCGCCTTTTAAAGGCGGCAGCAAATGGCCTCCCACAGGACAGCCAGAACTGGTGCCGTCTGAGTGGCCGCCATGGGACGGGCACCGGTCTACAAGCTTGGCGCGTGCTCGCTCATTAGTCCTCACACAGCTCCTGGAACCAGTTCCTGTTGTCACTGCCATTTTACTGACGTCTAAACTGGGCCTGGAGGAATGAAATGAGAAAGCAGAGAAGCCTCTCAGCGCTACACGAAAGAGCGGCATTCAGACCCTGGCAGTCTGGCTGGCACTCAGCGCATTATCTACGAAAGATATGCAGAAACTCAGGGTTCCGGCTCGGGGCTGGCAGGGGCTGGCAGGAGCCGGCAGGGGGGTGAGGGGTTGCTGGCCTAGTAGTTGTCACACAGAGCTGACAGACTAGGTGCTCATTCCTGTGACGGAGACCCAAGCACTCCTTCAAGACCAAGATTTGCAGCTCAAAAATAAACTCAGTCAGAGTAGGTACACATAATACTGATACCACTACCACTACTGGCTGATTTTTGAGGGTTCATTTTGCCATGAACTATACTAATTGATTTTCTCATTTACTCCCCATGACCATGGGGATACTATGTTTTTTTTTGTTTTTTAAACTGAGCAAATTCAGGCTCAGGAATGTCTAATGGACCTTAAGTTACTGTTTATATAAATAAGAGACTCCAGACTTAGACCCACGGGTGCCAAGCTCCTGATGACCGGTGTGTGGGACACATGGCTTTTAATCTCCTGTAAAGGACTGGATGAGCTTGGAAGGCATCTGGGCCTGAGCTGGTGGTGGAGGGAGGGGGAATGTAAAGAACTGTTATCATTTCAGAGCAGGTCTGGGTGTGGGATGCTGCTGTTTCTCTCCCCAGACTCTGTGAAGCCTCCTTTGGGATGAGGAGATTTGGAATCCCCCCTTCTAATGTTTCCATGTCTTTAACCTGGGGTTCCCCTCATTTGTCAGGAAGAACAGATGTTCTGAGTATGCACACACAGGTCCTTTAAAATCAAGACTAGTTTGAAAGAAGGTGATATTTTTAACTTTGTGTTCCCCATTTGCGAAGCTAAGTTAAAGTAACAGTGTCCTTTCTGTAAGAGGAGCAGCGGGTACAATGACCACGTGCTACCTGGTACAAAAATCAAGGCTCCTTGGGGGATACAAACTAGCAAGCCCTTTCAAGTGGCAAGGGGGTGAAGTTATCCTATATGTCTGGGTAGACTCCAACACTTACAGATACCTACAGAAGCAGAAGCAAAAGCCAGATCACTGATGCGGAGTCAATGATATTAGAGTCAAGGACAGCACACATGATCACCCAAGTCATTACTTGCAGCTAAATAAATTATGTCAGAAACATTCTCCAGAATCATCCAAAAGCAGCAGATCTGCATCTTCCTTCGAGGCCAACATTGTTGGGCTGGAAAAGATCACCAAAGAGTAATAATTCGAATAA